TAGAGCTTGTACCCTCATAATAGGTTTAGTTTTGTAAACACTGCTAATTAAGCAAGTTAGGTAACAATGACGGTCAGTTCAAGAGAATATACTCCTATCATACCAGTTCAAGAGTATATACTCTTTCATACGCAGGCACTCATAAAGGTGCTATTATATTTATAATGATCTTTAGAACACCCCAAAAATGACAATTATATACCAAAGTTTCAAGCCCTGTTCTGAACAAGGGATTTTGAGCCAGACCATTATTTCAACTCATTTTAACTAACTATAAGGACATTCCTGGTAGTAATAATTCTTAACCTGCATAATATTTAGCATGGTCCAGAATAAGTAACAGATTTAACAATGGCTAATTTCATTTACTTGGTATTATTGACAAAAATATAGGCATTGTCTTTATTAAATGAGTACAAGAATGATTGCTGCTAGTTATCAATTATTTAATTTTCCCTAAAAATGACTGGGCCACATCCGTTAGTTTATTTACATTTTCCTTAATGAAGAACAAAAACCAAAGTACCGGACACAATAGTTGAAAATATTCTGTCGTAAATACTGAAGATGTATTAGGAGTTTCAAAACTTCAGTATGTTTTTAACTTGGCTGTTAATACTAGGATTAGGCCTAGTTATACTATAATATATATATATCAAATAAAGTAAGTCTCCTATTCAGTTGCCATCCAGATCCAAATCTACATTTTACATTAGTAACAGGCCTGCCTATTTTATATAGTAAATAAATAAGCCTTGTACTTTCAGGACTATTTATCCCAAAATTACTGTTATTAGGCCCATAATTCATAATTGGCAGTATTAGCCTATTAGAAATTTTATGCAAACGTTTCTAGTCTTTGTTCAAGGTATAAACGTAGACCTAGGGTTATGCACAATGAAACAAAGACAGACAAAGTCTAATGAAGGGTAACACAAAGAAAGGCCCTAAATTTATTATGGCTTTACGTATAAGTTGTAGTACAAGACTTCAAAAGTCATAATTATGATTAGAATACACTCAAGACTCAAGATTAATTAACGTAACGTTCACTGACAATGTCATTGTTAATAGTTTTAGTTAAACATTATCATTATTAGCCCAAATTCAACAGAACAAGAAACAGAATTTTATTATGAGAATTGTGAAGACCTAAAGCCTTAAGGAACAATAATGTTTACATGTTACTGAACAGTGCAGAAGTAAAGAATGTATTCTTGTTCCGACTTGTAAATAAGAACAAAGAGAGATCAGCTGGGCTAACGGTGCAATGAAAATGAGAAGCAAGGGCTAAGTGTGTCAAGAGTAACAGTGTATAGCAATAGCTTACCAAACAACGCCAAATGCACCATATCCTATCGGTCTGTCTGGGGTTTCTGATGCATAAGTAACAGGACTGATTATGGATCCTGACACAGGAATCGCCAGAAGTCCAACATGTTGATTGTTGGTGACACTGGGGCTTGAGGAAGAGTTATGAAAAGCCATAACATGCCTTGAACTCGCTCTTTCAACTCTTTGCCCCACCACCGCCATGGCCATTTGCCCTAACACAGCCGCGCCTGGTGTGCCCGCATATATTTTATTTAAATACGATATTTAATTTGCTATATTTGTATCATGTAAAGAGTTGGGCACTCGGGTGTATACTCCGTGGGTCAATATGAGAGTAAAGTAGACACTTTCGACCGTTTCGTTAGGTCCAAACAGCGGAATGAACGGAGCCGACACTTCCTGACTCACACGCCAGCCAGCACACAAAGAAACCCTGTCACGTGACAACGCCTTACACACTACCCATAATGCACAGTGTAACTAGGATTTTCTCATTTTTTGTCCCATTTAACAAGTTATTTAACAAAAATATTACTTATAAAATTACTAGGTCGGACATTTTTCAAAATATTCACTCATGTTTTAAAAAATTACTAGAAGATAATTATGTTTTAACGCTTTTAGGTAGTAACTGTGTAACGCACCGAAAGCTCCGCCCCTTAAAAACGGTGTTGATTAGAATTGTTCACCCACTAATACATGTCTCCTACAAAATGTTGTTAATGGAATGAGTAATCGATTTTGAATCTAGCGCTTTGTTCGGATTCTTTGTTGGCTTCTATTATTTTTTATTGTTTTTTTTAGACATACATAAAGGTTTTTGCCCAATATACATTTCTTAAAATTTTTAGAATAATAACTTCCCAATAAGAATACTACTCTTTGTTATTGTAAACTACAACTACAAGTTAATAGAATATTACTGTCTTTTTCCATCAATATATTATCTTTAATTCAAACATTTATTTCTATTTTTCAGGGATAATCTATTTATTTTTTTAATGCTAACAGTTACAAATGGATAAAGTGTGTCGAACCCAATAAAACAATTTTAAGTATAATATTAAGCGTGCGGGGAGTGGGGGGTGTCCTTGTTAAACTTAAAAATCGTAGTTCAGAATTTAGCTACATCTAATTTAATCTAAAGATGTCATCTAAATTCAGTAATATTATCGCATTTTCTGGGGTGAAAAAAAAAGGGGGGGGGGAGTGGCATAAGTAAATGATTTTGATTAATCAGAAGAGTTCAGTGTTAGTTCCGTCAACGTTAAATTAATGTGTCATGTTTAAGTGACTTATTAGTAATATTAGTTGGTAAAATTTCTATAATACCTATTTTATTAATTAGAGTCTCATGTACTCTTCAGTATAACATTCAAACATATTTTCCTATATAGCATAAGTTTCATTATCGGAATATAATAAAAAATCAGGGAAACCTTCATACAGACTTTGATGGGCTCTAACTTGAACCACATCATTCCATTGCAGCTCATTATGGTCCTGACACAACTGACTTGAACCACAACATACTTCCATTACAGCCCATACGGGACCCTAGCCATGAACCACTAGAATAGTTCTAGTAGGTCGTGCTCTGGGGCCCTAGCCTGAACCCCATCATTTCGCAATTACAGCTCATGTAGGGGACTGGTCTTTACCACCAAATTCAAGGTTTTCGTCCCCCTGCTGTTGCAAGAAAACGACCACATTCTCAAACATTCTAATTCGTGAGCCTACGTCCCTTGGCTACCTTGTTTCCTCTTGCTTTCTTTCGAAGTTTGCATTCAGTGTATTCTTCTTTTTTATTTTAATGAAAAATATACGCCACTTATGTGATTGTGTCATTGTCCAGTAAATAAGCCTGTAATTTTGGTTTGGTGCATACTGGGCATCCATCTTTTTTTTTTTTTGTAAACCTTATAGTTTTCTCAGTACATTCCTTTCTCACTAGTTATTGAGATACTTTATACATATCCTGGTAATGATCTGTGTCTTACCTCCAAAGATCCAGGTCTGACAACTGGACTTAATTATAATAATGCAGTATTCTTTGTTTTTTCCCCAAGGAGGACCTATGCTTCGTAGTCTGCCTGCTGATATCCGTTCCTAAATCTCAGTCATTATTTGGATTTGATAACTGGTGTAGTTATAGCAGATCATAGTCATAGTCGTTAAAAGTTAAAATTAAGTTTATGCTCACTTTCCCCTCAAATTAAATTGGGGGAAGTAATATACTGAAAACAATTTTAGCAGAATAATGTACGATGACTTCCCTTCTCTGATGGGTGATGCTTACGTAGAGTTGAAATCAGAGAAGTGTTTATTTTATAAAACGTACTTTACATTGGTTTGTGTTTATCACCGTGTAAAAGGCGGATAAAAAGCTTGTAAGTAAACAGTTTCCTTGAATTAAAACGACTTCTGCTTCAGCCTTTACAGTAAACAATGTATTCTTTTTAAAAATAGTATTTACTTTGGCCCTAAGTTAATTCAATGACTTCTTGAAACACGGGCCGGTCTACCTTTTACTTTTATCCAATGGAAAGCTGCTTTTGTTTAAATGGGCAATTAAACAGTAATAAATTTCATTATTAATCAATGATATGTTGGCCCTCATACACGTAGTTTCGATGCCCATTATTGTAGAAATTTTGTTTTATTTCTTTAATTAAAGCAATTGATACTAAGATTGGCATAAGTATTTTCGTTAAGTTGCATGCAAATGTATTTATAACATTATATAGAATTTTATATATCAATATTAAATTGAACTTTTATACCAGCAAAGCCTTGTATGATACACTGAACTGTATGGGTTACGAGTCTGGCGAGGTAGGGACAGGGGGCCTTGTAAAGACTCCCCCCCCCCCCAACAAATTTTTAATATTAAGGTTAAGTCCTAGTATTCCTAGTCTCGTTAATTAATAAATAAAAAATACGGTATAACTTAAATTATTTTTTTTTTTTTTTTTTTTAATTTTTTTTTTATTTTTTTTTTTTTTTTTTTTTGCGAGGTAGGGACAGGGGGCCTTGTAAAGACCCCCCCCCCCCCCAACAAATTTTTAATATTAAGGTTAAGTCCTAGTATTCCTAGTCTCGTTAATTAATAAATAAAAAATACGGTATGACTTAAATTATTTTTTATGTTTTTTTTTTTAAATTACTTTTTAATTATTATTATTTTTTTTATGTAATAGGCCTCTATATTTTAAAAAATAAATAAACACTCATTTTAAAAAAACGATAAAGAGTTCAATTTAATTCAAATGTCAGGCACTGAAAAATACAGAAAACTGCAAATTATAATGGTAATTTACTCATTCCCAGCAATTATAAACACCTAGTGAAGTTGCAAACTAAAATAACGACGACCTTTCTAACTTTCTACTTTCTTATTATTCTAATCTTTCAACCCGGTGAGGATGACTTTTATAAGAAACTAGCGAAATCTAACTCACTTATATTGTAAAAGCATACATCCCTCAAATATCGGCAGACCTATATCATGGTTATTTTCAATATAATTAGATTTTATGATATTGAATATTCGTTGAGCATTCAGTTTATCAAGTAAACAGTAACTTTAAAATTTGTATCTAAATTTGTGGTGTCCATTTTTGGAGATTTTACAATAGGGGTTACAACGCATGCGCATCTAATGCCATTTCCTTTTTCTCGTGTGTCAAGTCCAGGGCGTTTATTTCCACCCCCTTTTCCCGTTTTCAACAGGAAGAATTAATGAATACAAGAATATAGATTTCATAGCAAACAAAGTTTCAAAGCAACGTAAGTCTCATTTTGCAATATGTCCGCATTAAAATTTGATCAAAGCCTATTCTTGTTCATCTAAATGGCAAACGTGTGATAAATACTAGTTCTTGGGTAAGTGTCGAAAGTTAAAGAGTGATTCATGCTTTTTTCGCCTTGAACCAAAGCAATGAGGAAGAGAAGCAAATATTTTGGAATTGCCGGCACCATGCCCCAATTTAAAGCTACAATTAGGTTTTAATCAATAGTCATATTTTTATTGAAAAAATGTTGAGTGTGGTGTATATACTGATATACTATATACTATGACTATATACTTATACTATTATAATTATATATTTATAGTAGTAAAAGTAAAGGCTAGTGATCAGTAGCCTAGCTTAGGCCTAGGCTTTTATTTAATTTATTTTTATATAAATATAAATTATAATTATAAACTGAAGTAGTGGTTATATATTAGGCTTTGCTAAGCTAAGGCTAAGTAAAATTAGATTCTGATTTTTAAAAAGATAATAAATTTATTTAAGGACCTAATCTACTATTTATTAAGACTAATAGTAATAGTAGGCCCACTTCCATTCTAATTTGAAAATAGGCCTAAATTTAGTCATGAGTATTACTAGTATTAGACTTTTATATTTGAATATTTTCAACTATTTTTCTCTGCTAGTTGCTCATTTCCAATCCGTTTGAAATCTGGTTTTGTTTTATAATTTATAATAAATAGTAAAAATATGATTAGTTAGTGTGATAACTTTCCAGTTCATGTTAAATTTGGGGTTAACAGTATGGGCATGGGTTTTTGCCAAGAGTTGTCTTGCTATAAGTGCAGTGACGTCACTTTAGGGAATCCTAACACTGGAATGAATAGACCAATCGTTGGACCTGAATGGTGTGTGTCATAGTCATACCTTTCCAATTCTTCATTGAGCATTACTAGCATCATAAACTAAATCTGATGATCGCAGACCTGTTTACTCGTACGATTTTGGCGTAAAATGTACGATTTTGAGGTTTATACATTATATATACTGATTTTTATTTTACTATTAAGATAATGTATTGATTGATTTTGTGATGATATTGTAAGATTTTAAGAGTTTGAGGGTAAACAGGTCTGTGATCGATACAGTTAATATGAAGCATAGTAAAATACAATTTTCTATTAATTTGTATTAAAATTCAAATTGTCAAATGACAAGTTTAAAAAAAAAAATGAAAAAAGAACATCCTCACTGATACCCCAAGACCCAACATGGGTGGGGAAAAAAACATGCCCAAAAGTAAAAGTGCTTTCTTTTTATTATTTGAAAATCAAAATACCTGTATCACTGTTTGCTAAAACTTCTGTAATGAAACGGAGACTGCTATTTAATTAGTATTGGAAATGGGCGTAGATTAGGAAATATTTGATAACTGTGTTTCAGAATCAATTTAGAAGGCATTTAAAGTGGAATGTTGTCTTTGGAAGTTTAAAAAACTGGTAGAGTCCATATTAATATAAATTAATCATAATTTTATGTGTGCAAAATCTCAGAGTTTCATTAATAAGAGTTTGTTTTGTGCAAACACTATTAAACCATTGGCTAGCGAAAGCTTTAATTAATTAATTAGTCATGGGTTAAAGTTGAAAGTTCAAAATATTTTTTATACTAAAGTAACTAATGATTTCTATCATTTCACGTGACATTTCACCATAATTTTCCTCCCACTTTAAATACCAAAATAAGAAACTAATAAATCTTCTCGGGGTCTCCCGACCCCTCCCCAAAACCCCTTCCTTCACTTTAAAAAAATATATAATAAGTAAAAAAAAACTAGCATTAAGTGAACACAAAGTCAGATCTGTTTAATATGGCGCTGTAGACAGAAGTTGACAGTGGAACACATCGCTAGCGTTATTCCTAACCCAAAATCACCCTACTTCTTCACTGAAGGTAGAGTTTCATAGATGTAATCATACGATCGATACAGTTAATATAAAATTAATAGTAAAGAAATTTTGCATTTTTTTTTTTTTTTAAATTGTAACTTACAAGGTTCAAAAGAAATCCATTTTTAAAGAGATAAGTGAGAGAAAAAACAAACTCATTTGTTCAGTATTAATTTGTTATGTTATTTTGCATTTCATTGTTTGCATTATTAACAAATTAATCAGTAATGAGTTGGTGTTTATTTTAATATTAGGTTTAATTATTTGCAGCCTGTGAAAGATTTACTCATTGCGATAAAAGTGGCCCATGAAGCCTTTTGGGTTGGCCACCCCTGTAAAAGATTATGTAGTAGCATGTGGGGGTATCATGGTAAAACTATAAAATTCAGTGAATCTATTCGATTTACGGTTATTGACAACCAATTGTTATATTTCTATCAAATCCACTGTTATTTTGAAATTCTAACTATTCATAAGAGTTAGCGTAAGTCTAATGTTCTCATTGTTCTAGTTTTGTCTTCTTTGACTCTAATAATATATTGCATGGTTCTGCTAGGCCTAATAATAATTGGAATGGTCAGGTTTACTGCCACAGTAAACCTATTACAATAAACTAAAAGCTGATGTAAATTATTTTACGTTCATGGGCTAAAGCTGAATCGACTCTCGCTGGTGCGAGAATTAACAAATTTGTGAACTTTATTACTGGACTTAGTTGTTAATAGTATCAATCTTTAATAGGCCTACATGTTGTTTCTTTGTCTCTTTTAGCGATATTTATTATAAGAGCTAAAAAAATAATTGTAGCTATTTTTCCCCAACACTTTCCTTGAAATTTAAAGATGTTTTAAGAGTGCATTATAGTCTATGCATTCACCACAGTATTTTATTCCTTTTTTTATTATTCCTAAGCAATTTTCTACTACATTTCCCTATTTTTAGAGACATTTGATGATTGTACTCACCATGTATGAAACATTTTTTGGTTGTTTTTATTAGTGTAAAATAAAAGTAAAAATTATTGTATAGGTTTATGTTCCTCAAAACAGATGGCGTTTATGAGAAAAAGCAAGTTTCGGCATGTGTTTGGCAAACCCTTAAAGAGAGATGAGTGTTATGATGGAATCCGTATCACAAGAACATCATGGGAATCCACATACTGTGCTGTCAACCCTAAATATGTAGCTGTTATTACAGAGGCAGCAGGAGGTGGATCCTTTCTGGTTTTGCCACTTGCTAAGGTATTAACATTTTAATATACTCTTATAAAATATAGTTCATAATTGAAACAGATTTGTATAGAGACATGGTTTACACCCAAATTTTATTATACAACCTGTTTTTTTTTCTTTTACATAATTGGTCAAGACTGTTACTGTAGTATTGTAACACTGCTAATTGTTTATTGCTCTTATTAATTTCCATGATGTGAGTCAGTTGGGTTTTTTTTTGTTTTTTTGGGGGGTGGGGGCTATAATTTTAAATCTTAGGATTTAGTTTTTGAAAAGCCAGCAGGGGTGAAAGTTCAACATATTCTATATCCTAAGAATTTTGTCAAAAAGTTCTTTATGATAATGAGGAGGGGTGCCATTATTCCGGATTCATTGGGCTAAATATTTTTCAGCTTCAGGTTCACGAGTTTTTATTTTCTCTCGATCTGAATTCACCAGTTCAGTTTATTCAAATATGGATTCTGGGATTTTAAAAAAAAATGTGTAAGAATGCGCGAAAGCCTATTCATTAGAACAGGTGCTGCGACCTCTCGCTTTCATTTGCGACCTCTCTTCTTGCTGTGTCAAGTTAAATTCTACAATATATGAATTTGATGAGTTTCGTTAAGTTTCAGGGTTGGAAAATTTGTAAATGAATTATCAGGTTTCAAGAAATTTTTAGAAAGGTTTTTTCAGGTTTCACAGCTTTCAGTGAGTGGCACCCATGCTAATGAGTCAAATGTTAAAGCTTGTAGTTTAGTCCTATATAAACTTTCCTTCAGTGCAGATACACAAACAAAACAATTGACTTGCAAAATATAGTGGAATACTTATAAAGTGAATGCATAATTCTTATATTTTATGACCTTTGTTCACATTAATTCTTAAAATAACAGTTTTGAAACTTAATCAGACATGCCAACCCTTCCGATTTTGTTGGAACTATACATATTTTTTATCCCTCATTCTGACCTTCAGGCAAACTCCTTAAAATTACGATTTTCCGAACATTATAATTTTTACCCGCCATAAAAATTCGAAAGTGACAACAAAAAAAATCAAAGAAAAAAATTGGGTACGACAGGAAGTGGTGCATTTCGATCCCTCTTCCTTTGTTTTTATGAAGTGTTTACAAGTCTGATGGACCGGACGAATAAGTTCTCTAGATATTCGTCCGGCAATTATATATTCGACCAAGTCACATGACTGCCATAACAAAGTTGCACGAGATATTTGTCCTTCAGCCCTGTTACTTGACCGATAATAGTCGATCAGAATTTGCAGTACTTCATTTCAACAAATACAAGTCAATGCTAACCTTTTAAGTCAGTCTGGACATTTTTATGAAACAGAAATATGTTCAATTCTACAAAAGAAATGCTTTAAACATTGCTGGTATATATAATGAACAAATGGTTAAAATGTGACAGTGTTAAATAAAATGTGACATGCCCGCCAGATGACTATCCTCCGCCCTATTTGTCCTGTCACTAGACATGTAGTCACTGCCTTGTTTTTTTTCAAAGTGAACCGCGATCTCTAAATCATTCTTCAATCATCAATTGATCCGATCGTCATTCATCCTTTTACTAGGCTTAAAAATAATTCAGTGGTGTTGTGACTTTTTTTAAATTTTTGTTAAAGCTTTTCTTAATTAAATGGATACATCTATTAAAAGTGGTGGGTACAATGATATTAATAAACATATTTCAACACCAAAAAAACAAACATACAACTTCAGCTTAAGCAGGTGCATCTACTACATACATGTCTAATTTCTTTGCTAAGGAATTGGACGATTCAGTTATCAGATCAGAAGTTGTTTTTACTGCCTTTCTTATTGAAGGAAATATTTCTCTAGCCAACTCCTCATTTTAATGCCAAAGTCAAAGAAATGTTTCCAGATTCCCAAATTGCTAGAAGATTGTAAAGATAAATTACAGTGAATATGAAACAAGGGCAAGCATGAAAGTTGATAATCTTTCTAACTTGCTTGTAACAAAAGTCATTTGCAATGCTAACCTTCAGTTGTCCAAAGAACTGTTGGAAAAGTGCAAAAAGGCCAATAGGGATATGCTGGAAAACTGAAATCTTAGCAGCATGTGTACATATGTAAATAAAATGGTTATGCTGCCCTGTACTGTATATAAATATAAACATTTCCAGTAATGTTTTTCTCATTTTCTATGGTGATCTGTGGACTCTTCAAAGATAATGAAGGTAACTTTATATTTTTTTCTTTACTTAAAAAAGGCTTTTGCATTAGTGGGTATGTAGATCTTAAAACCAACGCCCCCCCCCCCCCCCCCCCCCCCAAGTGCAGCAACATCACTCCCGCACCCCCCTACAGATTTTTTTTCCTTGGCAGGTTGGCAGGTGTGCTTAATCATTGATGTTATGTTACAACTGATGTAACCATGTTTAGAGCAATGAGGTGGTATGGCCTTACTTGAGCTCACTGACTTTTGTCCCAGTTCAGAGTTTGACACTTTATATTGTACATATTATTTTTATTTTTATGATTTTAATTTCTAGACAGGCAGAGTCAACATTGACCACCCGATGGTAGCTGGTCATAAAGGAGCTGTTTTGGATATCGCATGGTGCCCACACAATGATGATGTCATTGCTAGTGCATCAGAAGATTGTACGGTCAAGTTGTGGCAAATTCCTGAAGATGGACTGAAAGAGAATTTAGTTGAACCCGTTGTTGACCTGTTTGCCCATCAACGTAGAGTTACACTGCTAGTCTGGCATCCAACTGCAATGAATGTCTTGTTGAGCACAGGTATGTTGTGTGTGCTACAGAGATCAAGTCTAATGTGGGATTACACTCAAACAGAAGTTATTGACAGAGAAGCCTCATTAAGTAAAAAGCTTGGGACTAATATTAAAGCAGCTTTTAAATAGACTTTATTTTAAAAGTAGATTTATATTTAAATTTTTTATCCATTTTTTTCGGCTTCTTTTGTAATATTATAGCATGTGTTGTGACCTAAAGCAGATTAAATTTACAAAAACCATATAACAGTTCGTAACACTATTGTATTGTTTTTGAAAAAAAAATAAAAACAGTCTATTGAATGGCAGTTTTATTGTTGATAGCTATTTTATTTTGTATTTAAGGCTCTGACAACCTTGTTATCATCTGGAATGTTGGCACTGGCGAGGCCATGTTGCAGATAGACATGCCTGATCAAATTTACTCTGGTTCATTCAACTTTGATGGCAGTCGATTTGTCTGTACATGCAAAGACAAAGTCTTGCGTATTGTTGATACCCACACAGGCAAAACAATTAAGGTAAGAGTCTTTTTATAGCCACTATTTTGTTAAAAGTTATGTGGTGAAGATATCTTAGGAATAGATTTTTAAAATTGTGTTATTTTCTTCGGAAACACAATCTTAAGTCTTAATGGATGTTGTAACATCTTTTAAATGATAAATATTAAAAAATGTACTGCCTTTTTTTTTCATCAGTCACAAAAGCTATTAAGGAGATATCCATAAATTATAATAAATGACTTTGTTAATGTCCAAATTTATCAGTAGGTAATCTAAAGCCATCACAACTTTTTTAAACTGTAAAAGAAAAAAAATTTTTAGATCAAAATGTATTTTATTTTAACTATATTGTGTTTGTTCTCCAGGAAGGTAAATGCCACATGGGATCTAAGCCAGCTCAGTGTGCATATTTAAAGAATGGTCAAGTGTTCACCACAGGATTTTCTAAGATGAGTGAGAGGCAATATGCATTGTGGGATGAGGTAACCATTTTTTTTCCTCTTGTCATTCTGTAATTTATTGAAGGTCATGATTTATTAATTATCTAAATATTGTTAGCTTGTACTCAAATAATACCCCTTTTTAAAAAAGTCTTCCTAATTTTGCAAATTACCAATGCTATTTGGACATACCTTGAAATTTTATTTGAATGTTTATTTCTGATTTCTGTGTTCCAGAATGATTTGAATGAACCTAGAACAATAGAGGAGATAGACTCAAGTAATGGTGTCATGTTTATCTTCTATGACTCAGATACAAACATGGTGTATCTGGCTGGAAAGGTGAGTTTAAAGTTTGACAAGACAAAACATAAAAAATTTCAACAGATGCACAGACCTGTTTACTCTTACGATTTTGGCGTACAATGTACGATTTTGAGGTGTAAACATATATACTGTATGCATATTTTTTACTCTAAATAAAAGGTATTGAACGATTTTGTGATGATATTTTACGATTTTAAGAGTTTGAGGGTAATCAGGTCTGGATGCATTTGACATTTAACTTCAAACACATCTGAACAGATACACTTGACATTCAATATAAAACTCATCTTTAACCCTATAACTGTCAAAACGGCAAATCATCAGCCGTTATACCACTTTCTGTGGTGTCTAGACCGATATGGTTGCCCGCTAGCAAAATCGTAATTAAAAATGTGGTTTAATGTATGTTATTTAAGTGGAAATCACTCTATATAAATGCGTTTGCTTTTTATTACCGTTAATATTTGTGCGTTAACTTATATTTATCAAAATAAAATGAGTAAAACAGAGTAGGGTTAAACCTGAAAAAATAAACGCAACAAAACACGCTGTTTTGTTGCGTTTATTTTTTCAGGTTTAACCCTACTCTGTTTTACTCATTTTATTTTGTACTAACCTGATTGCAGTCTCTCCCCTTATTACCCCTTATATTTATCAGGGATTTTTTTGGTGATAAATCGGTTGTGAAATTTTCACAAATTTTTTTCCCGCCGTAATGTCTACGGGTTCCCCTCTAGATTGCAAAATCAACACAGAATTTCTATTGGAATTATGTCAAATATATTATAATAAAAGCAATGATTTCAGGGATATTCCATGTGCTAGTAATGACAATATTAGCTCTAGTTGTGATGGCGACATAATAGTTAGATATTGACAATTTTAACCCTAAGCTTAGTCATACTATTACAGACAAATTTTGTTTGTTAACGGGTGGAAACAAAGAGAAAAAGACACATATTGGATCCCAAAGACTTATCCAAAAATATTTATGTTTATGTATATTCTGAGGTATTAATCAATAAAAACATGGATTTAAAAACTTCAATTAAAAAAAAATCAATTTTTAAACTCATTTCGTGTCTTTCCCCTCGTATTTTGTTTAACAAAAATTTGAAGTTTGGGAATGAAAACAAATCACAAATATCACAAGTTTTCAATATAAGTATCTGTAACTTGTCATTATCTGAAAGAATATTGCTTCAAGTATCTCAAAAACATGATTTTATGATAGTTTGAACTGTTTAGGGTGGTTTGGGAATTCAGAAGTTGAGTATTAAAATTTTACTCACTCTATAAAGGTCAAGGTCAATATCGGCATATTTAATATAAAAACAAATTCTTTTCATACCAAAAGATACCTGTATACTTGTAAGGTTCTTTTAATTCATTTAGTCTGGGGTTTTTTTTTATTTTTGACAAGCATATGAAATAGCTAAAAAAAATGGCTTGATGCTATAGAAAATGTTCTGTTGAATCTCTTAACACATTTTTAAAATACCCTTATTAAAAAAAAAAAGGTAAATTAATGTAAGTATACAAAGAAGTATACCCACTACTTGTGTTATTTGCAAACAAAACGCAATGAGCATTATCAAAAACTTTTTTTTCATGACTGCATTTTTTTTTAAAAGCTTAATAGTCATTTCTTTGTGTTTTCCATTCCCAGGGAGACAGTATAATCCGTTATTATGAGGTGACAGATGAAGCCCCATATGTTCACTTCTTGACATTGTACCAGTCCAATGCACCTCAGAGAGGCATTGGTTTCATGCCCAAAAGAGGACTTAATGTAAATAACAATGAGATTGCCCGGTAAGTTCCATGAGACATTAGCAACACCTAACTTTGACAATCTGCATACTGAATCCTTTATCAGCACAGATAAAATAGCTCATGCTTGCATGTCCAGAAATCAAACTGTTTTACATTGAAAGGCCTACTCTCCACCTAAACCTGTTTTACATCGAAAGGCCTACTCTCCACCTAAACCTGTTTAACATTGAAGGGCCTACTCTCCGCCTAAACCTGTTTTACATCGAAAGGCCTACTCTCCACCTAAACCTGTTTAACATTGAAGGGCCTACTCTCCGCCTAAACCTGTTTTACATTGAAAGGCCTACTCTCCACCTAAACCTGTTTAATATTGAAAGGCCTACTCTCCACCTAAACCTGTTTAATATTGAAAGGCCTACCCTCCACCTAAACCTGTTTTACATTGAAAGGCCTACTCTCCACCTAAACCTGTTTAACATTGAAAGGCCTACTCTCCACCTAAACCTGTTTAACATTGAAAGGCCTACTTTCCACCTAAACCCATTTACAGCAGTCTGACAGTTAAAAACTCTACTCAAGAGGAATGCCTTCCCTCAACCTCTGCTCTGAATACATGCTGATGAACACTTCAGAATACTAGATTGGAACTGTTTGAAGGACTCTTTTTTAGTATGTGCAATTAAAAATAATCCAATGTATTTTACCCTACTGACTTGTTAATAATTATGAAATACTAACAGGTTTTACAAGCTTCACAACAATGGCCTCTGTGAGATAATTCCTTTTACAGTACCCAGGAAGGTATTTCCTTTTTAATTTTACTTTTCCAATGAATAGATTCCAAATTACACTTCCTGGTATGAAGTTTTATTTTATAAGTAGGAAGTTTTATATTCATGCAACTTTATATTTGCATAAGATATTTAAACATTTACTTTTAAAATAACAGACTGCAACAGCACTTTAAAGTTTTAACAAGTTACACTATTTTTCCATGGTCAGTAACTTCTTTAGAAGTATCCCTCACATTGACACATTGGTAGGAAGAATTAACGTTGGAAGTGTCCTGACTGGCACACTACACATTTAGGAAGTAACACTTGAAGTGTTGGATGTCAACAGAGTTCTCCCTTGGTCAGATCAAGTGGTTTTTTTATGGTGGCCTCATTGTAGGCTGTACTTGAAGCCCATGTTTAGCTATTTTGCTTACGATTCATTGGTTTGATGGGGGGGGGGGGTGGTGGTGGTTGTACAGCCAAGTAGATAGCAATTAAGCACATTAAATTATAAAGCATGGGCATGAAGTCAATTATCCCATTATGCAGGAATAGGTTCACACTGCATTGTGGGAATAATGTCCATGAAGAACTCAATGTTTTCAGTATTCAATTTTATGTTAAGTTGAAGCAATGGCCTTTGAGCGAGTCCCCCAAAATAGGCACTACAAATCATCCTGTACTCTTCATGAGTCTCTTCATCTTAATTTGACTAAGTAAAGTGTAGTGGGTCATAATACTTATGTAAATCCTTCTGTTTGTTATCTCCTGTGCAGTCAGAACTGTTTCAAGATGACCTTTACCCTGACACAGCCTCTGATGTGCCAGCTATATCTGCTGATGATTTTTTTTCAGGAAAAAATGCTGAGCCTGTTTTGGTATGTTGAAGATGTTTACATTAATAGAGTTGTCAAGGTGTAGAATTGCACTAAATTTTTTATATATTTTTCCTTTGTCGATTTGGTTTACTACATTTTTCTATTATGTATAGGAAATACATCTGTATTAAATTTTGAAAAGTGCAAAAATGTTAATTGCGCTTATGAGAATTATGGCACATTAAAGAATAAACACTACTATAGCTCATGTTACATATTTGTTTTCTCGTGTTTGATTTTGGTTGTCAGGTTTCACTAAAAGAAGGATTTGCACCATCCAAAAAGGAACAGCTCAAAGTGGTCAAGAAAAACATACTTGATAAAATGCCAGCCAAACCCCAGCAGCAACAATCCTCCAACAATGCTGAGGCTGCAGCAGCACCCTCGTTGCCGCCTGTAAGTCCTTCAAACCATCACATCATATCAACCATAAGTCTGTTGTGAAATCAAAGTATAAATTATTTTATAAATTGCTGCTCAGGGGCATGTGTTCGTCAGATCTACTATTTCAGGAGATTGTGACAATTAAAGATTATATGAAAATCAACCCTCTATCCAGAATATATCAATATATTTTGTAGTACTTCCTACTGGACTATTTATAAGTATTGGTGGGTTCAATGCTTTGTGTATTTATTTAGGAATTTGGTGAGGCTTCAAATAACTATAAGAAATTCATTTGGATTCACATGCCTTGCATTTTTTCCTTCATCAGTTGTCATATTATTCTGAAATTAACTTGTTATTCTGTGTTTAAAAACAAATAAAAACTTGGGTTTAATAAATAATGCCCAGCTACATCGGAGTAAATATTTAACGGAGTAAATATTTAACGGTCATATTAATTCATTGTTGGTAATTATATCATTAGCTTATTTATTATGCTTGTGTCCAGCATAGTTTTGTGTTTTTAATTTTGTCTGACAATGAATTGCAGTGTTTCTCTTTCATTGGGACTAGAAAAGACACTAATTTTCAGCTTCCTATTAATATTTGTCCCCAGCCAAGATCATTGTGTATCTATTTAGTTATAAGTAAATAATTTTGTACTCGCTAGATCATAAGTCATCGGAACATTAGTCCTAGAGAAACAATGTATTCTTTGGACCTACTAACAAATGTAGACGGTAGCTATTCTATTGCTAGCTGTTAAGAAGTTAAATAACCAATCAAAATAATTGAACGCTCTAATAGGTTGGTACTTAGTGTTTCTTTCAGGAATAGTTAATATTATCATTGTTGATTACTGTCACTCTTTTATTTTCCGTCATCAAATAAAACACAACGAAGTGCTATGATGACTCTCCCTGCATAAAAAATTAAAGTCAACATTTATTTTTCTAAAAGTAATTGCCATTGGAATTTTCTCATTGTTTGGATGGGTTAACCTTTTTTATTTCTTTAATTGGAGACACATCCTGTTAAGTTACATTCTCAGTCAGTGTAGTTACATTCTCTGACATGGTTTTCTTGTGTCAAACAAGGCAGTTACATAGATAAGGATGACACTTTAAAAAAAAAAAAAAAATCCCATTGCTGTTTTTGACCTCAGGGTTTTGACCCACAAGCCATTTTGGATGACATGAGAAAACTGAAGCTGATTGTTAAGGCACATGAACGGAGGATTAAAACTTTGGAGGAGAGGCTTTCGCAGTATGAGAGTGAGGAGGAGGCTGTGGAAGAGGCATAAGGCTGGCCACCATCTCTTACACACCTAACTATGGTTCTTGAAACTTTTTATTTTTTCGCATTTCCTTTTGTTTTAGTTTTTCCTTGTTCCACCAGTGTTGGGTTTTGCTTAGTTGCCACTTGGATATGTATTGTTGACACCTTTTACTAATTATGTTTTCAGCAAGTTAGAAATTATTTTTATTTAAAATATTTTTGTTTACATCATCTATTACCACATTTTGGGACATTTTTATTTTTTTCCCATTTAAATATCTCCAAAAAAAAATAATTTTTTATTGGTTTGAATTTAACAAACAAAATTGGCACACACTAGTAATAGATAAATTTATTCAAGATACAAGAACCATTTGCTTATGTCTTGGATCTATTGTCCTTTGGTTACAATTGGGTTTATCAATGAGCCCTTGCTGAAAACTTGTTGGTGATGTGCCACACATAATTTAACAGCTTTTAGAAACAGGAATCATAATCTCATGGGACATAACTACTGCTTTCCATTGGAATCCTATTACTATTAATGATGCTAGCCTAATGACCTGCTTTTGGTGGTGAATGAATACTACTATGTAATAACTATCACTTTGATGTGTCTGTGTTCACATTTAAATTAGGCTTGCCAGTCTTTAGATGAACTGCTATCCTTAGAGTGTAATGTCTTCAGTAATTTAGCTTTACAAGAAATAACCTTTCTTCTACAAGTCAGAAACTTACCTTTACAAGATAGAAACTTTATCTTTACAAGAAATAAACTTCCCCATTACTAGAAAAAAACTTACCTTTACAAGTTTAAAAGATATAAATTACCTTTACAAGATATATCACAAGTAACACTTGTGTAAGATCTGATCCAGTTCTTACTTTGTAATTTTAACTCTGTTTTACTCTTCTCAGTTTTCATACATACAATTACATTTTCTCATTATATAGAGCTGATGTTTCATCTCACACCCCTGTGATTATGATCATGAAAAGTTGTTACGCACACACAATGGTGTCTCTCTGTCAAGCTATGATTTAAACAGTCACTAATGTGTGACTGTCAAGATGAATTTAGCACACTTTTTCATTTATAAAACTAACATGTTGTTAGATGTGTTCTCTCCTAGTCCACTTAAAATTTAGCTCTGCTTAAAACATGATAGGCCTTGATTTTTACGTGTAGTCAGTGGATCATGCTGTTGTGTGATCTTTACAAAACACGCTATATATATATGTCTGAATATAGTTTCTATTTTTGCTTTTGGACTGAAATATTTCTCCTATTTTCACCAGTCCACAGATGTCCTCCAAATGCTGAAAAATACTGATGTAGATTAAAAAAGTAGTGTCAGCTCTTTCAGTATCAAAATTTCGCAGCTGACCCCTGAATAAGATTGTCATCACACATTATAGCTTTTCCCCTTATTGAGATGGTCAGCATACACCCTCACTTCTCCACTAAAACAGTCTCTTGTCATCAGCTTGTTTCACTGAGTGTTGTTTTATTATGGCACCCGACAGCTCATGTACCAGTTATGTAAATGTATTTTTAAAAATATTTAAATTTTGAGATTAATCTAGTCACAGCAAAAGTCAGCAGTCTTCAGTAGCTAAACAAATTTTTGGAATTGTTTTATGTAGTCTAAGCTTTTCATCATCCTGATATCATCCATAAGATAAAATAACTTGAGTAACATAACAAATGAGATTTTTTAATGCATAATTTTACACCATTTATTCTGTCTGGTGAACAATTTTTTGAAGGAAGAAAAAAATTGTATTGGGTGGGGCTATGCATACTTTCTGATAGTTCACTTTAATCAGGTATGAAGATATAGGTGTTTCCTCTCTCATTAGCTTATAAACTATGCTCCTAATGAACTTTATCTATAGAGCAGCTTATGATATCCCATTAGTGCATTATGAATGGCATACCACCACATCAGCATGGCTATATACTACAGTTGAAGGTGGATGGGATAAATAAGACTTTAGTCAAATGTATAAAATGAAAGGTTTACTAATGGTGTAGGAAGGGATAGGTTGACTAATGGTGTACACAGCTCATGATCTTTCCCCAGAGAAAAGATCAGGGGATGTCGAATTGTTTTCATTTCAGGGTTGATGCTTATTTTGATTCCTGTGAGCCTTGATGGCGCCCTAGTTCTTGTTGGATTTAAACAATTATTTCCCAACAATTGTGTTTCTATTGTTAAAGGGTCATCAACTTATTATTATTTATTATCTCAACAGCTACATTATTTTGAAAAAATGGCCAGTATTCAATTGACTTGAAATTAATGGCACAGCTTCTAAAAAGCCATGTTAACTTATTTGATTAGTTTATTAACAGTTAAAACAATCCACATTAAGTAAATAGCTAACCTTGTTGACTGCTAGCATCCTACAGTAGGTCTGTAGCTAACCTGCTAGCATTGTGTTTGAAAGAAATGCATGTCATCATTTGATAATGGCAATTTCTGCCGATTGGATAAAGCATGGTGTTCTGGATAGGGGTGCTATATCTTGTTTTAATGATCATTTAACTATGTACCGGTACTATACAAAAAGCTTCCACACAAGGCCAGTAAATAACTATGACAAGTGACAGTCAGTATTTTGTTTTTTAGTGTTGACTGTTTCGTATGAAACATTTTGTTAGTTGACTATCTCAAAATTCAAAAGTTTAACTTTGAACCACCTTTTTTGTTAATGAAATATTTTGAATGATCAATAGATTAGGTAGGCGGCTAACATTTTGAAATCTGTGCGAATTTAATAATAATTTTTTTTTCCTAACCATGATTTGTAGCAAAAGTTTAAAATGTTGTATTGATTCATGTACTCTTGTGTAATGCCCTGAGACTCAATTTTAATTAAGTGTAATGCCCCTAAACTGGGTTTTAATTTAGTAGAAAGCCCTCATATTCAGTTCTAATTAAATGGAATGCCTTCAGATTCAGTTCTAATTAAGTCTAATGCCTCATACTCAGTTTTCATTTAGTGTAATGCCCTTATACCCAGTTCTAATTAAGTTAATTCTCTTAGACTCATTACCTGATACTAATTAAGTGTAATGCCCTCAGGCTCAGTATTAATTATTAAGTGTAATGTCCATAGGCTCAGTTCTAATATTTGCTTTATTTTTTTTCAACCCCATATGACCCATATTATAATGACCACCTGACCTCTACTATAATGACCACCTGACCTCTACTATGATGACCACCTGACCTCTACTGTGATGACCATCTCATAATGGCCTGTATTCCCTGGTTCAGCACTCCATCAAATTTAATGTGGAAGACCTGAAGGATCTTCAAGAGGAAATCAAAGAGCTCAAATTGAAGGTGAGATCACAGGACAAGCGCATCGGGAATCTGGAGAACCGCCTCCAACAACTTGAAGACAACGCTGATGAGGAAGAGGGTGGGGAGGAGGCTTAAATGTATTCTTATGAATAGACCTCTTTGCTATATTTATATACTTCTTGACGTGTATCAACTGAGCATTATTAGAGGATATTACAACTGGAATTCTATAATGCCTTCACCAATATATCTTGTTTTTGTATAGCTATAGTTATGGTGGGTCATTTATTGAAAATTTAAAATAGTTTGATTAACCTAACAAAGGGGGAAATAATTAAAAGGCTAATAGTAAATGATGGAACAAAATTAGTTTCTTGTAACATATAGGCGCAGGAACAGTAGACATTCTACACTAAAGAAGCCCGAAATAGAATAGGCAGAGTAGATGAGATAGAAAATGACACTCTGCATTTACTCTGATTAGCTTCACTGAGTAAATAATTATTCAATCCACTAGAACTATGGACACAAGTTTTAGTTTTTAAATATCCTGGTTCGATCAGTCTGTTGTGCCTGGATGTGTCGGCATGACTCTTATTTCTCTGACTCATCATTTATTATTAAAGTCATATTTTTTTGTTGGTTGAATCATAAGAATTGGTGTTTGTATTTAAATATAATATACAACTGCTTCATAGGTAGAATTATGTAATGCAATTTTCATATTAAAAAAAAAAAGCACATCTTACGGTAAACAGTTGTTTGTGTGTTTAGTAAGATGACATTTTTATGATTCTTTTTTATTTAGTTAGGCCCAGTTTCATGTAAGGCTTTCAATACTGTTGTATTAAATCTAGAAAACAAAAGTTGCAATAACAACAATCACAATAATAAATAGTTTAAGATGTTCAACAAAAAAAAAAGAGAAAAAAAAACAACTAAGACAACTAAGAAAATGGGAAGTTTTGAATCATTGCTTGGAGCATATAATTAAAAAACCATTGAGACTCAGTATTGAAAGCCCCCAGACAGCGCCTTCTAATGCACATACATTGTAAACATTGTGTTTGAATGAGAGCATAATTTCCCTTGTCTAGATTTCATTTCTGAACACAGGTTAGCTATTAATTAACTTGGTCCAGATTTCTTTTCTGAATGCAAGTCATAGACATTACTAAGTTGGTTAAAAAATAGGCTATTAGAAAAATGAAGAGTTGTGACACTTGATCTGCTAAATGAGAAGTGTCTGTATAGCAGTAAGCACCCATTGACCCAGCAAAACCAGAACAGCCTAATAATGTGTCTAGTTCTCACTTCTCTAGTCTTTTTAAGACTTTTGCTAAATCTGATTTCAAGAAAAACTATGTTAATAGTGACATTATTTCTTGTGGACATTGTATTTATGTTAAGGTCAATGATATTTAATGGGACTTTATTTATAGTAGGCAACATTGGTTTTATATCAGTCAAGATTATGAAAAATTAATTCTATTTAAAATGGTTCTTATTGTTTGTAACTTGTGTGATCAAAGCATTGAATGAAAAAGACGTAATGCCAGCTTCTTGAATCAGGGGGCTTTTCAATCTCTGCTGCTAGGTGTTATTCTGGTAAGTTGATTTAGAAACAGGCGAATTGGTATAATACTTGTTTCTAATGGAACAATCTTAAATAATAATATATGACAAACGATTAAAGAAATTTAAATCAATAATTATATTGATCAGTGGGTAAATTGATGGGTTTTTAAAAAAAGTTTTGCTGTTTTCATTTTAACACGTTGAATAAAAAATTAAGAAGGATGGTTTTATGAATAGTTGCATTATAAAGAGCCACGGCAAAGACAGTCGTAGGGATCTTTTTGTGTCATGTTTGGTGCCATCTCTGATGTAACATGTGTTCTCTTTAATATGTAGAGGTGTGCAGCAAACTTTGCTGAACTCTTTGATGACAAAGCAGTTTAAGTTTTGTAAATTGTTAACAGACCAGTCTAAAATTCAGTAACTTGACCTATCGGGTGAACTTATTTTTTTTATTGTATTTCATTTTCACTTATTTTTAAACATTGATAGCATTTTTATTTTGTATGTGAACATAATATATAAATTTGTATATCTGCACCAGAGCATTGCTGCGTAATGTTATGTAAAAAATTACATGCATGTTTTAGTTGCTTTTTTTAAACCAATTCCTAAAAGTATATGTCATTGAGCTGATTCATTTATGTGCAAGTCAAATAACTGTTATTGTTTGTGAAGTCATAATTTCATGTGTCCTCTTATTAGTCTTATTGTTGCTGAATGAATGCATTATGTGGTCTCAAAGTGAACTGAATGTAATTACTTGATCTTCTCAAAGCGCCCATTGGTCCTAGGCACATTGAGGAGGCACTAAGTACATTTTAATTAAATCCATGTACTTGAAGAAAGTATGTTTAAACAGCTGTTAGATGTGACTTTCTAACATTTTTTTAACAAAAAAATAAAGATTTCCAGATGCCTAATTTGGGTTACATCATTTTATTTTTAGTGTATTTCTATACTTGCGTACTATTGAACATTGTATGTACTACCAATGGGTGTCAAGAGATACGTTCAAGTCAAAAGCTGCATCATAAAGACTCTTTCATTCAATTCCATTTCTTTATGGCATGCTGTTCCTGAATTACTCAAGGCCATGGTAAATGATTTTTATTGTTTTTTGAAATGGTGGTTTTGTTGGTTGTCCTTTTGGGTAGTGTTGCAGTTTTGAAGTATTTGCCTAGCAAATCTAGGACGCTGTTTGGTTATTACTAGAGCTAAAAATGTCAGTCTTGATTGGATGCATAGATAACATAATTTGTTGGTAAAAATTAGAGCTAAATTTTGTCAGTCTTGATTGGATGCATATATATTAACATAATTTGTTGTCTTTGTTTTGCTGTTTCACTTTGCTAACATTGCCACTGTAAAAATCAACATTAATAAATACATAATAATGATTTTTGAACTCTTAGTACTTGCTCACTTGTTTTCTTTCATGTGAAATTTTTGTTTCTCTTTATTCTTTTTGTGAAAATCTTGTGTAACATATGTATTCCAACTGACAGGGTGATATATAATTGCTAGATTTTTGTTCTAGTTTATTTTTTAAAAGTCTTTTCTTCCATCTATTGCATTTGAAGCTGTTCTATTCCTATCATTAAGTTCTTTGAAACTACTGCACAGTAGAAAACTATTTTCAAAGAATGTCTCACTGTGAAGAAATAACACTTGTAAACTTAAACTGTGACACTTGTTTCAATGGTTACATAAAGCAATCACTTTGACAGCAATACATTTTAGCTGACATTTTCCAGACATCTCCAACTAGTAATGTAAGAAATGGATAAATTCCCATTCCAACAGCCACCGAGACTTTTTGATCTTGTATACCACAAACTATTTGTTGACAACAGAACATGTTTAAATTGGAAATCAAATTTTCTATTCTTTCACAATTATAAATCTCTTTAAAAACAAATATTTTTAAAAAATTAGTCTGTTAGATGTATGTTTTGAATACAATGAACTAACAAGATTAGTGGCTTTTTTTATCAGCATTATCATCAACAAAATATTTGTTTCTTGTAGTGATTCCCATTGATTTCAACTCTTGAACTGTCCCTTATATTTAAGTTTTTTGATTTTTGTAAAGGCTTCCTTTTGTGTGATAGGAGACAAAGGAAATGTGATAGGCTAAGGGCTGGCTTCATGTTGGACATGTGTGAGAGATTGAGTCACTGTATACTTGAGGCTGGTGTACAAAGCTGTACGTGCCGATTTCATGGAATGTAAAAATGGCTGTTATTGTATTATCAAAATAGAATTCAAATGCTGATGGAAATTGTAGTACTCATGCTATGAGTCAGAGGGAAAAAAGTTTTATTTCACCAAGATAAATACAGCTTGTTATGTGTAAAAAATTTACTTCATATTTATTTATTGGATAGGATGAGGCTATACAAATATTATTTTCACTGCAATTTGTGATACGTTGAATTGAAATAACATAAATTAGTTGGTTTGCCATATACTCTTACAGTAATTGTGTAGTTTGTGCATGATGAAGTCAGATGAAAAGAACTTTAAAAGAGGTATCTTTCAAGTAAATTCTAAGATCTCATTAGACTTGGTGACATCTCATTGGTGTACATTTATTGTATCCTTAAACTGTGTATACAGTAGGGTTGCCAGGACTTATGGTTTCCCAGTAAGCTTTGTGGGTTTTCTTCCCTTAGTTTAATACCGGTAGCTAAATAAGTGTTACTTTGGTTTTCTACATTTGTTTTTTTTTTAAACTCAATTTTTTTATGTTTGGGGTGGATTTTCCTTGTTTTATTTTTCCTGGCAACCCTCATCTATAGTTTGGGATGCCCTGTAATTTTGTTTTTCTGTTTACTAAGTTTGATTTTGTATATTTTGAATGCTTCCTGTCTTTACTTTTATAATATATACCTACACTATTATTATTTTGTTGTGTTTTTTTAAAAATAAAAATAGTTTGGAAAATTAAGCAAGAGACAGAAAGGAGCCCCAGGATGCTCTCAAGATTTAACTTTTTTTAAAATATGAATAATTTTGATTTCTTTTAATTCATTGTAATAATAAAAGCAACTGCTTAATATAATTTGTATTTTTTGGTTTGGTGCAATCTGAGAGAAAAAAAATTAAATCTTTCTTTTCATATGGATGAAGTTGTACAGTTAAATGTTTTTTTAAACATCAAACAAAATTCTTTTTAAAGAGACATAATCTGATAGCTTTCATAATACTTTCATACCCCTTATGGAATATTTTAGGAATATGCGGTCACAGTAAAAGAACTATACATTGATTTTTTAAAAATTTTATTTTGTATTCACCTCCCATTTTCCATGGCCTCCAAGTAAAAAAAAAAGATTTTAAGATGTTGCTTTTAGGAAGGAAAAAAATATAATTAGATTCGAGGTTACTATGCAATTATGTGCCTCTTATTTCTGTTTTTATGACATGCTAAAGACTATTTTTAGAACCAGTTTAACTGCAGCAAATTTCAAATCCTATGTGTTGGTTGGTGAATGAGATTGCATTTGTGTTTCATACTTCTATGTATTATACTTGTGCCTGCAAGGTTGGGAGAGGAATCATACTTTGTACATGTGAGGTTGGGAGAGAAATCATACTTTGTACATGCAAGGTTGGGAGAGAAATCATACTTTGTACATGCAAGGTTGGGAGAGAAATCATACTTTGTACATGCAAGGTTGGGAGAAAAACCATACTTTGTACATGTGAGGTTGGGAGAGGAATCATACTTTGTACATGTGAGGTTGGGAGAGAAATCATACTTTGTACATGCAAGGTTGGGAGAGAAACCATACTTTGTACATGCAAGGTTGGGAGAGAAACCATACTTTGTTCATGCAAGGTTGGGAGAGAAACCATACTTTGTACATGCAAGGTTGGGAGAGAAACCATACTTTGTACATGCAAGGTTGGGAGAGAAATCATACTTTGTACATGCAAGGTTGGGAGAGAAATCATACTTTGTTCATGCAAGGTTGGGAGAGAAACCATACTTTGTTCATGCAAGGTTGGGAGAGAAACCATACTTTGTACATGCAAGGTTGGGAGAGAAACCATACTTTGTACATGCAAGGTTGGGAGAGAAATCATACTTTGTACATGCAAGGTTGGGAGAGAAATCATACTTTGTTCATGCAAGGTTGGGAGAGAAACCATACTTTGTTCATGCAAGGTTGGGAGAGAAACCATACTTTGTACATGCAAGGTTGGGAGAGAAACCATACTTTGTACATGCAAGGTTGGGAGAGAAATCATACTTTGTACATGCAAGGTTGGGAGAGAAACCATACTTTGTACATGCAAGGTTGGGAGAGAAACCATACTTTGTTCATGCAAGGTTGGGAGAGAAACCATACTTTGTTCATGCAAGGTTGGGAGAGCGCTGAGTAAAATGTTGTATTGAGCTACTCCCAATATTTGGTTATTTTGAGTCAAGCCCATACAAATAGTAATTCAAATTGATTCAACTTAAAGACAGCTTTGTATATGTAGAGTTTTGGATACCATACGTAATTAATTTGTACAACAACTTTGACAATTGTGAAAAAGCTTTTTCTTAAATGAGTAAATAAAAATAAAATGCATCAAGAATGCTGAGTGTAAGATCAAGCCATTTATTGGATAACAGTGATTTGGTGATTCATTAACATTGATTTCTTCTGCTACATACTATTTAACTAATAAAAACAAGCTAAATAATTACTAGAGGTTTTTTGGGTATCTGTACTTGAAAATTAGTTGTTCATTTAATGGTCATTTCTGGGTTTGGAGAGTATTGTCTTCATTTTCTCTTTTTCAAATAAACTTGTTTGTGCAGCTCATATTTGGAGGTGTGTTATTTATTTTTTATTTGCTTCACAGTTTATTTTATTTTTTTTACAACATTTCAAGTCTATTTTAAACTTTCCATCTGAAAAAATCACCTGGTTGAGTCAATTAATTTAACTGAAATGATGCAGCAGCACCAAGCGTGAGCTCTTCTGGCCGATGTTCAAACTCCATTAGGAGGAGGGTAATCCAGGCTGCAAGGCTCGGGTTTCCCCTTGCCCTTCCGTACGTTCCCAAAGCCCTTTTCCCTTGGCTGGTCCTAGGGAGTGTGATTTAGTCTAGATGCACTGCTGCCCCCCTTGTAATATGGCGTGTGCTTGTCCACATGGGCCCTGGTTTTTACTGACTAGACTTAAGCGCGATGTAGCAATAGTTGCTTTGGTAACTTTCTCCTCAATCCTACCCATTTCCAGCATTATTCTTTTGGCCAGCATTCGGAGTATCCGCTCCCTATTTTTACCCATCCATCCAGCAGGAAATGTAAAGGTTTTATTTTGGTTATTTTTAAATGATATCTTTAAATTCTTTAAAATGTAAAATCTCGCAGCTTTTTTGAGTTCTGCGTGGATTACATAGATTTGGTTTCTATAAGCCTCTAGTGCTGGGCAGATCTTTAAGTGGTCCAGGTCTTCATCTACTCGTGAACAGTGCCTGCAAAACTTGTCTGCAGCTTTTCCTATGTCTTTTAAGTAGGCTCTCGTAGGGCAGTGCTCTTTGTGAACTTGGGCTATTATCATTTGGTCCTTTCTTGTCAATTTTCACCAGTTGTCATTTTTACTAAGACCCTTTTGGTAAGCACATACTTTTCGTCCCACTCTTGCAACCATGCATTCCTGAAATGAGCCCTCTGGATCACTTTTAGCGCTTCGAACAATACCCATTTCTCTGGGTTGGGGTTAAGCGCTCCGTCCTTCGCTAGGGTGTCTGGTTTGTCATGGTTGATATTGGTGTGGGCTGATACCCATTGGACTATAACATCTTTGTTATATTTCTCTGTTACACTTTGGTTGACTAATTACCTCTAATATTTTCCCCATCCTGGGCTAGAACAATCCTTTCTTTGCTGAAGGCTATTTTTGACTCGTTTAGTCCCTTAGCACTTTTGTTTCAGCCTCTGTCAGTGTGGAGTGTTTGTTGCATGGCCCCAAGAAGTCCATTGGAACCTCCAGTCCTGGGATTACAATTTTGATGCCATACCCTGCGACGTCTTTGTTTCGAGCTCCATCTACATACATGTGTATATGTTTCTTAGGAGGGACAGGTGTCAGGTTGACTTTGGTTTTCTTATTAAGTTGACGAGTTTCATTGGTTCCATTTCCTGTATTTAGGGGATTGTTTTATTTGCCCAGCCTGATTTTCGATACTGCGTTGATTTTGGACCTGAGGACTGTGATTTGGACTTTCCTCTTTAAGGGGTTACACAAAGAAATGACCCTTTACTCTTCTGCATGCCAAATCGTGGAGTGCGCCACCTTCCTCAAATCCTTTAAATCTTTCTAGCATGGTGAGGATTGCTCTCTCACAACTTATGTGCAGTGGTTCAAGGTTGGACAAGATCTCTCCTGCCGCTATTTGAGAGCTCTTAATAAAGTCCTGCATATTAGCCTTGTCGCTTGGCTTTGGATCTGGTCTAGTTTTGCCTGCGTGGACTTACTTGCCTTGCATTATACTGGGAGGCCGTAATTAAGCACTGATCTGACAGCGCTGATATATAGTACTCTCAGGGTGCTAGCCGATGCAGCCCCCTGTTCCTGCTAATTTTTTTTACTATATTCAGTTTTCTTGTTGCTGCGTTGACTAGTTGTTCCATGTAGGTGTGCATTTGCAACTTTTGGTCCAGCCTAACTCCTAGATATTTTGCACTTTTGAAGTTCACTGCCTCTAAAGCTGAGACTTCTTGGCACCTTTTTTATTGCTCTGCCCAGGGTAAACAGTGTATATGTTGTTTTGGGTATGTTTACCTCTATCTTGCGTCTCTTGATGAACTTTTTTAGCCTCTCCAGGAGTTGTTCGGTAATTTTTCGGCGTCTTTCCCTGTTTGTCAAAAGACAATATCATCTGTGAATAGAGCTTTTTTCGCACGTATTTCGTCCGGAATATCATTGATATAAATGAACAGAACACAGCTCTGGGCTGAACCCTGTAGAAGTCCTTCCTCCAGCGGCTTATAGTGTGACATGTCGCATCCGAATTTCGAGCATACGGTTTTATTACTCAGAAATCTTTAATCTACCAATACATTTGGCCGGTTATTCCTATTTTTGCATCTTTAGGAGTAGCCCGTTTCTCCACACTTTGTCATAAGCTTGTTTTAAATCAAGAAAGACAGTGGTCGTGCTCTCACCATTTTCGAATCTGCCAATGACTGGCTGGGTAAATCTTACAACTTGATCGATTGACTGTAGATTTTTTTCTGAAGCCACATTGATTTCTCTTAATCAATTTATTTCTCTCCAGGTGCCAATACATACTATTGTTCACCATTCTTTCTGTAATTTTACCAACACACAATGTAATTGAAATCGGCCTATAACTCTCCAGGTCTTCAGCCATTTTCCCTGTTTTTAATATTAGAGTGATGCTGGCGCACCTCCAGTCTTCTGGGATTATACCCGATTCCCATGTTCTATTTATGATTTTGAGTAGGGATAGTTTTGCCTTTAAACTTTAACTTTATGTTAATTTAAATGATTTTATGCCTTTTTTTTTTAACAGTCTCTGACAGTTAAATGGACCATTGACTGAAAACAGTTATTTCAAAATATGTTTGAACACAAAAATAAAATAACAATTCATAACTATCATAAACTAAAGATACATTGATACCAAGTAATACATATAAATCAAATTATTCATAGGTTTCAGCAGATCTTATGATTAAGCAATATTAGGATATTTAGGCTATCTTAAGTCATGCATCATCTTCCACCACAAAAGTGCCAAATATGTGCTTTTTTGGCTCAAGGCCAAATGCTTCTGGTCAATGTTTTGGCATCAAAGTCAAAGGTTTAAATTACATATATTTAGGCCCCAAGGGATAAGGTCACACTTGAGTTCTTAATGATCACCCATAGCATATTTTTGTACCAGTACTTAAGAGAGACTATATAGAAATTAAAGTTCTACATCAGTCTTCCTAAAAGAATCTTGTGTTAATGTTACTTCACACTTTGAAGTATTGAAGATAATCTTGAAAAAATCACAAGGTCTAGTTGATGCAGATCTTAAATTCTTGCTTCACTGAAATGTAATTTATTTCCTTTCATACTATTGAACAGAATCAAAAAATGTCACATCTTCAGAACCAACAACATGAGCATTGTGTACCACATGTTTTGGAACTTCTATAATATCTCCAGGCTCCAAAGTAATTGTCTGACCACGCATTGACAACATAAATTTTCCTTTCGTGATAGCGTCCATTTTGGTCATGTTATGGGTGTGATCTGGAAAGTCTGTGCCAGGAGTGAAGTTGTACTTTGTGGATTTGTATCCCAAGGCTTGCAATTTTTTTCTCATATTTTCATCAGTGAGTGGCCCATCACAAGCTTTGTTCCACTTCATAAGATTTATCTTGTTAGACATTTCTGAAGAGATTAGAATACTGTATCTTTTGACCTAATAATGAAAAAAACATAATAAATGCGTGCATAAAGTGTCAGTTGTATAATAATCAGGGTACAGTTTGTATATTTACTGATAGTTCATAACTATTTGACCCAAAATGACTTGTCCATCAAAGTTACCGGTAGTAAGAACTTCAAGATGTTTGAAAATGAGAACTTCTTCAAAGATCTTTAGAAGTGAAACAAAATGGGAAATTTCAGCGTATGTGATTTCTTCTTGCTTGTTTCTAATGAGTTGATCATTTTGCATGAGAAATTAAACTGATGAGAATATCATACAATTAAATAGGATGTTGTAAATGTAGGCTCAAGTGTCATGGTAGTATGATTCATATAGAATAGAGACATAAGGACATGACAAATTCCAACAAATATTTTAGAAAAATTGTTTTAACAATATTATTTATTACTTAAATTGTCCCTTATTGATATACTTATTGAGTTGACAACCCTTATAAGTATTTATAATTTAATCATAATCATAGTAAAATTCAGTTATTGAATTTACCCTTGGCCTTCATGATTGAGCATCCTAAAGTAAAGTTATCGAAAGGACTGTCTTAGAATCTACTAGTAGCCTACTATATACTACATACGACTAGAAGTAAATGTGAACTTTAAAATGTTTTTAATATCTGTTTCTTACATTCAGAAATCAGAAGACACAAGATAAACTTATGTCATGTTTCACATCATCACTGTCACTGTTAGTGATAATTAAAATTATCATTATTACAATTTAAACAATCACTGGGTTAGTTTTTAGTAAGTAAGTATGATTAACTTAATCATTTATTTATTTATTTATTTAGGCATTTTTTATATAGCGCTTACCTTAAAGCTCTAAGTCTAAGCGCTTTACAATTATTAAAAACATGTAAAATAAGTAAAATAAAAATGAGACACTAGGATAGTAACTACTATACTATAGAAACAAATAAAATGGCTATAAAACGAGGACACTTTGACACGTTTTGGCCTATACTACAGGAACAGAAAATGAGGCAGGGCGAGGAGGGTGCATCACAGGTCATAGGCGGACCTAAACAGAATGGTTTTAAGGGACTTTTTAAAAGTGGACGAGGTTTCACAATGACGGATATGGAAGGGGAGCTGGTTCATTAAGACTCGTTATACTATGACTATGTCTATTACTATTAGTTTGACTATTAACTATGACTTATACTTGTTATAATATCATTAAATTAATTACTATTAGTAGTATTAGTAGTTTCTGTAATTAGAATTAATAATTAAATTATTAATATTAGTTTCAGAATGGATTATTTCTTACGCTTCCTTTCGTTTTTCTTTTATTTTGACTACTTTGTTGAGACTGTTTACCTTATTTATATACTTAATTTTTTTAATAATATGACTTTGACAAATTATTTTGACTTTGAGTGATTGTGAGTTTGAGTAGTTGTTTTTTTTTTGTTTTTTTTTTTTTT